AGGGCTCCTTGTGTCCCTGCCGGCTCCATGAATTTTCTGGGTGAGTACCACATGGCATGGATTGGTTTCCTGGTTTACACGGATAGCAGGGGTGACTATGACCAACTTTTAAATACCTTTTTGTGCTTCCAGGCCTTCTGTCAGTAAAACAGAAACGACTTCATTGCTTTCTTGTGAAGATAAATAGGGTAAGTATAAGCCTTTTAGGTTGTACCTGGCTTACAGTAATTGACCAGCAAATCTACTAATGTCTTCTGATTTCTCCCTTATATGTTCCCCACCTGAAGACCTTCTTCCAAGTCTCTGCTAAATTCCAGGTCCACATCCTTTGCCTATTTCACACTTCTATTTTCCTCACTCTCCATCATTGTCCTTGGGATTTCTGAGTGACCTAGGTGGGTTCCAAGGAGCTCAGCATGCTTTCCCAGCTCACAACCCACACTAACACACCTGCATGACCTCTGTCTTCCAAGACAACCAGTGTTAGCTGTCTTTGGCAAACCCATCTCCTATGGTTCAATATGCATCTCCATCTCTCCTCTGCGCCAGCCTATACTGGACAACAGGCACATAGAGTTAAAAGGAAATTTTTCCTTGTAAATGACAATGAAACTCTTCCATGAGTTTCCCCAGAGTAGAGGCGAAACACACCATCCCATGTGTCCCATGCAGCCAAAGGTGTCCATGACTGTCCTTTGCAATTAACCAGTTATCAAAAAGAATTCTCTGAATTCAGGGAGTGGTACAGCTGGTCCTATAAGGTTCTAATCACCTGACTTAGGAAGTTATTTGCCTCTACAATAGATAACATCCTGCTGGCCAAAACTGTCCAGAGGAATTTGGAGTAGGGGAATTCCAGGTCTGGATAGGGAAACTCCAGGTCTGCATAATGTTAAGTACCACCTGCTTGTAACACTCTAGATGGACTGAAGCCCACTTGGCCACAATCAAATTTCCCTAATGAATATTGCATTGCTGACCAACCAAGGGAAGATTACAGGCACCAGGATGTTTGCCACAAACTAAACGTGCATCTCACAGCCCCAACAGCAATCTGCAATAATCTTTTCTGTTAACTCCTTGGGAGAACCCTGGAATTAAGCCATAGCTAACAGGCTCCTTGACCTGTTCTTTGCAAATAAATGCAAGTTTATTCCAACAACCCACTGTCAGTGATGAGATTCTGACCTGTCAGATGAGTGGACACAGGTTGAGCAATACCTCCAGCAACCTTAAAGAGTTGTTCTGCATCATAAATAAATAAGTAATTGAACATCTTTAGGGCATTAAGTGAGAACTGCATGGAATGCTAGAGCTCTGAAGAGGTAACAGATAAGATTCTGAGGAAAACTTGAATTGCTGAGCGTATAGGATTAAGAAGAATATTCCATATGGAAAGAAATGAAAGCATTAGGTACAAGAAAGCAAAATACAGGTGATATCTAAGTATCCAGCATGTTGGTGAAAATAAAAGTAATTAAGTGGATTGATCTTAGAGTGTATGTGTGAGTTAGATTTGGGGAGAAGACAGACAGAGGCCAGGTAAAATTTAAGGGACTTCTTAAAACACAGGTGGGGAACATCTGGCTGCTACGCCATTCAAGGATCACAAAATCACTTGCTCTGGCCTCCCCAAGGCAACCATGGGCGGTTCTCAAAATTTGATGTAAGTATAGCAGTCTACTTTGCCATTGAGAACCTTGTATGGCCTGCAAATGATGTTATGAAGAGCCAAATGGTTCTTAGCAGAAAAAAATGTACTCTACCCCTGCCTTAAACCATAGTAAGTTTCTAGGAATCTACAAAGCATACTGTACTTCCGTAGAACATTTCATGTGAGGACATGAAATGATTTGAATTTCAGAAGTACCAGGCTCCTGACTGGTGTGTGGGAAAAACTAGAGGAGAGCCTATGAATAATGGCATTAGGAAAGAGAAAAGTTAAAACGGCAAGTTCTCAGTTTTCAGTGTGTGGTGGTGTATATGAAAATGAAAAGGCTGCTTCTGACCACTAGTGTGTAGAGAACAAAGATTCTGTTAAACATCCAGTCATGCATAGGACATCTTCCTATGAACCACGATGAGTTTTGGAATCCACAATTTCACTTTTGAGAAGACTGAAACACCCAGGAATGTTACACATGAATTCAGACACAGCCCCTGAAGTTGCAGCTCCACCTATATACTTTAGTTTTCTGAGGCATCCTGTGGATGGAAGTAACAGGCCTGAGTGGTCAGAGGCCTGAGTATTATCCTGGTCCCCTCCTATGAAACTTAGGACAGGGTCACCCAATCTGACAATGCTTGTATTTGCATATAATTGATTGAAAAGGATGTCTCTTGTTAGCTTTCCAGAATGTATGCTCTATAGATGTCAAAAATGAGATATGGCTCCTACTCACAAGGGATGTACACATGTCATATATATCTTCTCATTAAAGATTAAAGATTTTCATTGGCCATAAGATTCGAAGTTCCTAATGAAATGATAAAAGAGCTCAAAATGAAGATTGAAAAGCTTATGAAATGTGTGACATGAAAACACCAGGAAATGATATTTGAGTGGTAGTGCTCTAAAAGGAGTGAAAGAAAAATATACAACGATCCTAGGAAAGTATGTCAGATACTGTGAAACCACATCAAGGGACAAGGAAGACAGAATACAAAATTAAGTTGAAATATAACTGGCCATCTAATTTGAAATAAGGCTCGGCATTATGGAACACTGGTTAAAACTGCTGCCTGGTATGCTGGCACCCACATGAGCACCAGTTCGAGTCACAGCTGCAAAATGTCATATGCAGCTCCCTGCTAGAATGCATGGGAAAGCAGCAGAAGATGCCCAAGTGCTGGCCACCTGTCACCCACCTCTGGAGATCCAGATGGAGTCCTGGCCTCACGGCTTTGGATTGGCAGAGCCCTAGTCCTTGCATCCATTTGAGGACTGGACCAGTGGATGGAAGATATGCTTTCTCTCTCTCTCTCTCTCTGTCTCTGTCTCTCTCTCTTCCTCCCTCCCTATCTAACTTTCAAAAAATAAACCTTTCAAGAAAAGAATTTGAAGGAATCAATGAAAATGATGCATATGTAACAAAAATAGGGACCATGAGATATAATCAGTCTATGCCTTTGGAGACAAAACTGAATAGGTGCAACAGAAAATAATATCCAAAATTTAATAATTAACATAGAAAAAGAATAATTTTTGTCTAAAGGTGATGCAGCATGATGTGCTAATGAGAACTGATACAGGACACAGGGTTAAGGCACATTTTGAATGCTGACATTCCATGTTAGAGAGTCTGGGTTCCAGATCTGACTCTGCTCCTGATTCCAGATAGCTGTTAATGTGCCCACTGAGGGCAGCAGATGATGGCCAAAATTACTCAGTCACGCTCACCCAAGTAGGAGATTTAGACTGAGTTCTAAAGTCCAGGCTTCAGCTTGACCCTGACCTGGTAAATGCAGACATTGAGGAAGTAAAGTAGTAGACTTGAGTGTGCAGATGTGGTTTCTCTCTCTCTCTTTATCTCTCTCTCTCCAAACAAAATGAAATATAAACATAATTTTTTTAAAAAATTGATACAGGCTATCAACAAACTGTGTATCCTGCTAGGTATAAATAAAATAATAATGATAATTAAAATAATGATGAATCTTCTTCCGAGGGTTAAAAGAAAAGCCTTCTATAAGGGGAAAGTATTATATTGGCCTCAGACTGTGTTAGAAAATGTGAGAAATGGAATAATCCTTCCTAATGCTCCCAGGGAAAACTGAAGGATGCCTCAAGATACTGTCTAACCAAAGCTATTCCTCTTAGGCAGATGTTCTGTATAGGCGAGATCAAGCGAGCATCACAATCCAAATACAGACAATGAGCAATCAGGAGTGGGCAGCCATTCTTAGCGTGGGTGCTGTGATGCTGGCTCCAGCTCAGTCAGGCAACAAATCAAGGGGCCACAGCATTGAGCCACACAGAGTGAAGCTTGGCTCTGAAGTAGCCCTGCAACTCCGGCCCAGGAGCACAGGAGGGGCGGAGCTATGTTTCAGTGCTCTGGGCTACTTTGCCCTCCCTTCCTTTATGTCCTCTATTTTGGCCCAAGCTCAGTCACATAGCATTGTAACACACAGCCTGCATGTGACAGTTTCCTCTCTCCTCTTTGATGTCCTCCTCATTGCTAACATGGATATAACATCTCATCGCTGATTCACCCATATTCACGAATACAAAGACATGAAAGGGCTTTAGAGAAGATGAGTTCAACAGACCAGGGCATAGACTTTTTTTCCATTTCCCAATAGCTGTTGCGAAACTATCTTCTACACCCCAACCACCTAACACTATCCTAGCCTGTATAACTGTCTGTTCTACAAAATGACATCCAATCCCACGGGCAGAGGATGATATTACAGCCTCATCTCTTATCTTTGCTATTTGTCATAACAACTCTTCACCTACACCATGGGGTTATGTCCCTAGTGGGAGGTGCCTCAAAAGGGGAGGGGCATGCACACGTCATAAGGGGCATTCTGTGATGCAATAACCTGGGGGGGTGGTGTAGGAGATAAAAGTGGGCGTAGTCTTAGGCATGTGTCCAGTTACTCATTTTGACTCTCTTTGGCCAGATGAGTAACTAGAAGCATTTTTGCTGAAAATGACAAAAAAACTACCTCCGATTCTCCCGCGTCACCCCCAGCCTCACAGTCCTGCTCCTTCAGATTCCTGTTTTCCAACTTGCCTGCCTCACCTGGCTCCTCCCTCTGGCAAACCTAAGCCTGTCCTCCAGCACAAGAAATCTTCAGCTGCCTGCCCTGCCCATCTCCCTGCTCTGACCAGCATCTTTTCCCACAAGGACATTCCTTCCTCCAAGACTTCCAAGCGCACCCTGGCCTCTGTTCCCTCCACGTCACCCACTCACCGCCCTGTTCGTCTGGCTCCCCTTTCCTGCTTCTCCTCTGTCTGGGCCCCGACTCCTCCTCCCAGCCCCTCTTATTAGTCCTCTGGACTCTGTTCTCCACGGACACCCACCCCAGCCCAGACCTGGGGATTCACAGATCTTACTTTGAGATCTTACCTTCTCTAAGAGCCTTGGCAGTTCTGGCACAGTTCAGAAGAGAGGACAGTGGCTTCCCAGCAGCCTAGCCTGGTGAGTAAAGAGAATGTGAGAGGATGGCCAGCTGATGAACAGCCTATAGTGTCAGCTCAGATAATTACAGGATCCTTTTCCCAATGACAAGATCCCAGTTATTATACCACTATATCTGTTTTACCTTCATCCTCAACTTTTAACCTGTTTTAGAACCAGAGGTATCAATGATGATGTGCTTTTTCCAAACAGACTCTGCACTTCCTCTCCTGCTGATGAATCAGCCTTCAGGAACCCCCAGGCCTTCAAGAGGCTTCTCAGTGAAAGCAAGTCACAGAGCTGACAGCGGGACTAGTGACAGAGAAGGTAAAGAACCTGGAACAGAATATGTATAATCTGCTTTGCAGCAGAGAAAATCTTGTTGGGCCGTCCTGGATCCAAAGGATTTTAAGGAAGCGTGACCTCTGCCAAGTGTTAGGACACCAGGCCACTGTTAAAAAGTGGAGAGTCAAAGCTGTTTTCATTCCTTTTTCTTTCTTTTTTTGTCTCCATGAAAGGAGGGGCCACCCACCATGTTCTGATCTAAGATCCCAAGGATAAGCCTCCCTATCAGCATCTTATGTCCCACAATGTGAAAAGTAGCAGAGTCTAAATGGAATGAACACATCCAGTTCCTACCCAGACGACAGTATCACAAGAACAGATAGTATTTTTATCCCCTCTCCTCAAACCGACAGATTCAATACAAACTCAATCCAAATACAAACATCTTTTTCATGATGTTGAAAAGCTGATGGAAATTTTTAAACAAATGCAAGAATAACCAAGATTTTCATAAGTAGGTATTATGTTCATAGGTATCATTGCTAATTACAATAATCATGGTTAGTTGAAATTATCTACTATTGGCACAAGCATGGACAGACAAACTGTACAAGGTCTACAGACAAAGTATACACTTTAAGACACAAATGATGGGGACAGGATTTTCTCTATTCACCAAGTTCCTGCTATATCAGTTGAAGAGTTATTTAGAAATAAAACATTTTATATGAAAAATACATCCACACTGGAAAACTTAAAAGCAAGCAATATAGAATTGCTCTGCCTGTGCCTGACTACATATGAAAAAGCAATGGAAATGTTGAAAGGAAGAAAGTTGGTGTATCCTCTGTTAAAAAAATTGAAAACCATTTTACCTATTTTTCCTTCTAATATGAATACTAGAACACTGACATTGGAATTCCTAGAACATTTTTATTGGACAGGTGTATATCAGTGCACAATTATTTCAGATTATGTTTACCTGAAAAAGCATATTTTCCTTCAGTTTTGATGAAGATTTTCATTGATTACAGAATTCAGCTAGGCATACTTCTTTCATTTGATACTTTAATGAAGTTCTATTGCCTCCAAGTTTTGTGCATCTTGGAAAAATTTTCTGTAAATACTCTATTTGTCTTCTGTGCATACTATCATTTTTTTACCTGTGCATATTCACATGAGTGGTTTGACTCATAATTTGATTATGATATGCCTTGATGTGGGGTTCTTTGTGTCCATCCTTCTTCAGGAATGTTATTTTTTTGTTCTTTAAGTTAATTATTTCCTGAAACTGACATTCTCTCATTAATTCTTTGAATATATTCATATTTCCCATTCATCTACTTCTGAGTTCTGAATACCATTTGTGTTAAAGAACTGCTTCCTCTACTGGGGAATGAGGCTTATTTTATTTTGGTTGCCTTTTTCTGTGTCAGCCTGGTTAATCCTTACTGAAGTACTTTAGATTCACCAGTCCTTATGTCTTCAATGCTTGATCGTATTCAGAGGATTTTTTAAAATCATGTGTTATTAACCTCCAGAATTCCATCTATTTTTTTCTTTTTAAATTTTTCATTTCTGTTATTATGTTCTTGTTCTCCCTTTAATCTTTAACAGGAGAAGAATAGAAAAATAACATGAGAATAACAACAATTTTCAATTACTTCACATTAATTTCATGTAAGACATTTTGGTTTCTATCTCTGTTGATGTTTATTCCTTAGATGTGAATTTGAATTTCCTATTTTATTACTACACTGCATTTCTACATTTAGTTGATGCTATTAATTGTGAATGTAAGTTTGTTGAATACTTAATTTTGTTGACTTGCTTTAAAAATTGGTACAAATTTTTCTAGCAGGCATGTTGGCTATTTGTGTGTTAGGCTGTATTTTAATAGTTTGATTCTTTATTTTTTAGACAGGCAGAGTGGACAGTGAGAGAGACAGAGAGAAAGGTCTTCCTTTGCCATTGGTTCACCCTCCAATGGCCGCTGCGGCTGATGCGCTGCGGCCGGCGCACCACGCTGATCCGATGGCAGGAGCCAGGTGCTTCTCCTGGTCGCCCATGGATTGTAGGGCCCAAGGACTTGGGCCATCCTCCACTGCACTCCCTGGCCACAGCAGAGAGCTGGCATGGAAGAGGGGCAACCGGGACAGAATCCGGCACCCCGACCGGGACTAGTACCCGGTGTGCTGGCGCCTCAAGGTGGAGGATTAGCCTAGTGAGCCGCGGCGCCGGCCAATAGTTTGATTCTTGGCTGTGGTAAGGGAAGTCCAGGGTAGTCTGTCTTCTTCTTCTTCTTTTTTTTTTAAAGATTTATTTATTTGAATGTCAGAGTTACACAGAGAGAGGGGAGGTAGAGAAAGAGGGAGAGAGATCTTCCATCTGTTGGTTCACTTCCCAGTTGGCCACAAAGGCTGGAGCTGAGTTGATTCAAAGCCAGGAGCCAGGAGCCTCTTCCGGGTCTCCCATGGGGCTGCAGGGGCCCAAGTACCTGCGCCATCTTCTACTGCTTTTCCAGGCCATATCAGAGAGCTGGATTGGAAGTAGAGCAGCCTGGACTTGAACCGGCATCCATATGGGATGCCAGCACTGCAGTCGTGGCTTTACCCACTATGCCACAGCGCCTGCCCCAGCCTGTCTTCTTAAGGCTACATCACCTCTATGGCAGCATTATGAAGGACCGGAGGACAGAGTAATAGACAGTAAGCACAGAAAGCACAGGGTGTCTTGAGAGAGTCTCCTAGCTAGAGCAGCAGTACACTCCAGGACTTGAGGCAATGAGGGATGACACAGGTGATTAGGATTTTCAGAACCGAGCAGTCGTGCTATCTGCCTTGTATTAAGGACATGCCAGGTCAGATTTAGAGCCTTGATTTACATCCCTTTGTTAGATTCTCTGTCATCTTGTTAAGATAGACATTTTCCTCCCATTTATACGTGAGTTAAGTAAGGCCTAAAGAGATCAAGTGGCTACTAGTGAAAGCACAAGAAAGCACATTGTCATTCTGACAATGAAGATTAGGTTCATTCCTAATCAAACTGCCTCTCTAAAGTTCAGACTTCATAAGGAAGGAGAGTTGTGGATGGTAAATTCAGTTACTTAAAATGTTAGTGGATGGCCTGGCGCTGTGGCTCAGTGAGTTAATGCCCTGGCTTGAAGCGCCGGCATCCCATATGGGCACCGGTTCTAGTCCCGGCTGCTCCTCTTCCGATCCAGCCCTTTGCTGTGGCCTGGGAATGCAGTGGAAGATGACCCAAGTCCTTGGGCCCCTGCACCTGTGTGGGAGACCCAGAGAAAGCTCCTGGCTCCTGGCTTCGGATCAGCACAGCACCAGCCATTGTGGCCATCTGAGGGGTGAACTATCGGATGGAAGACCACTCTCTCTCTCTCTCTCTCTCTGACGTTTGAATAAAGAAATAATTTTTTTTTAAAAGTTCCTGGAAAAATATAATTATAGATTTTGGGGGGCATAAATGATTTAATTTATGCATATGAGAAGTTTTCAAAATTTTTATAAAAAATATAGCTATTAAGAAAAACTATAAAGTTTTGCATCTATTAAATTAATGTTTTAATTACCCTATCCATAAAGTTTTGAGGTCACCTTATCTGGCAAATGCCTCTACTGGTGCCCTGGCCATTATAACAATGTGGAGCTACAACCAGAAAAAAAGAGTCTACAGAGATTCCAATCTCTCATTACATTTGAGGCTCAGTCTTGTCGGAATTCTGCCCCATGTGGAGTAAGAGCTACTCTTCCACTGACCATGGTGGAGGGAGAGATCAGCTGGCAGGGCACAGTCTTGCTAGCTGTTCCCAAGCTAACAGCATGTCTTCTCAGTAGAATGAGAGTGCATTTTGTTCCTAGTGTAGGGAGCTGTGAAGATTGCAGCAGCTGGGTTGAGTAATGCTAGGACTAAGGGACCCAGGAAAGGCTCCCAGTGGCTTGTATTAAAGATGGTTTGTCGCTCCCCCTCTTCGTGGAGGAACGACACTAAGCCCTGCCTAGGCTTCATATCCGAGTCACGGCACCATTATGCCGCTCCCCGTCTTCGTGGAGGAACGACACAGGACCCTGCACTGTTCTTTCGTCTGCTCGGCCCTCCCCGGGTTTGCTGCTGGTTCTTCCCGGGTTGGCTACTATCCCTTCCACCTCCGTGGAAGGGCAGTTCCCCCTGGCCACATTCCCCACTTCCGCAGGGGAGCGGCACACCGCCGGCCGGCTTTCTCGGGGCTGCACAGGTGTTCCCTCAGATGTTCCCCTTAGATGTTCCTGGTGCATGCCGTCTCTCTCCTCCTTTATAGTCCTCCTCTGCCAATCCCAACTTGGCTGCCCACACGCCGAGTACGCTGCTCTCCTCCAATCAGGAGCAAGTCCTACAGTTTATTAGCTGAACTGGAGGCAGCTGTGTAGAAGCTGTTTTCTTCTCTCCCAGCGCCATATTGTGGGGGAGCAGATGCATAGAATAAGTCTTAATTCCAGTAACTTAGTCCAGTCCGGATTGCTCCCCACAATGGTTCTGCAGGCCGGTGCCGCGGCTCACTAGGCTAATCCTCTGCCTGCAGCACTGCCACACCGGGTTCTAGTCCCGGTCGGGGTGCCAGATTCTGTCCCAGTTGCCCCTCTTTCAGGCCAGCTCTCTGTTATGGCCCAGGAGTGCAGTGGAGGATGGCCCAAGTGCTTGGGCCCTGCACCCCATGGGCGACCAGGAGAAGCACCTGGCTCCTGCCTTCAGATCAGCGCAGTGCGCCGGTCACAACGCGCCGGCCGCAGCAGCCATTGGAGGGTGAACCAACACAAAAGGAAGACCTTTCTCTCTGTCTCTCTATCTCACTGTCCACTCTGCCTGTCTAAAAAAAAAAAAAAAAAAAAAAAAAAAAAAGATGGTTCAGCTGCTCAGCCAGCAAGGGATTCATGCTGTTCGTGGTTCTGGGTGATGCAAGGGCTTATTTAACAGGGAAAATAGGAGAAACCATCATGCTAACAGGGCATATATATCCATATATATCCTCAGCCAGCAGACACCAAACCCACATTTGTCCTTACTGTCCCAGGAATACTCACAGTGCAGAGACACAGATAAACTGTTTATTTTCAAGTACTTCAGTAGAAACGAATGCACTTTTGACAGGAGGATTTTGATTGTGGCATCTGCTTTAAATTTGCATCTGACTCATTCAATGTTTTTTTCAGAAATTATTCAACGTGAAATCTGCTCACCAGTTCTTTACCTTCTAGGTTTGCCACATGAGGTGGAGTCTTTCCTGTCCATGAGTCAAGCAGCTCCAGTACTAGGGAGTCCTGAGAAGCTGGGCACACGGCCAAGAGCCTGAAGACAGAGAGCCAGGAAGGCGATGGTGTGCCATGGGGATGCGACTGGGGGGTGAAAGCAGAGAGTGCTGCTACCTGGAGGGTGCACTGACATGCCACTGCCCAGAGATGGCAGAAGGATGTCAGTGCAAAAATGTGCAGAAGGCCTGGGTCCCAAGCACCTCACTAGGATTTTCAGAGAAATATCTCAACGTTGCAGAAACTCTACAGCTACATTGGCTGAGTTTCTCCACAAGGTTAAGCGGTGCTCCAGAAGGCATTAGGGAACAAGGAATACTCATGACTGCAGTTTTCCCAAAGAGAAAATGCCTCTTGTTGCCTAGCCAAAGTGGATACTTCAGGAACCCCTGAGGCCACATCAAAGCACATATATTACGTTCAAGGAAATGCAACTGTGTCACCTAAAATGCTCACTATAGAAGTTTAACTTTTTATAATTCTGCTTTTCAAATTTTTATATTTTGAAGAATTGTTGTATTTACTGCATTTTTGTTTCTTTTAATAAACTATTGTTTTTCCCTCATAATTTTATTTTTGCCTGAGTGCTGTGGGGAGTTTGCTTAGTAGATTCTAATCCCATGGTACTCCCAATTCCCTTCATTTGTGCAATCAACATTCTTGAACCAATAACATCCCTTACATGCCACTGGGGCTCGTATGGAACTCCAAATCCACCAAAAGCTCACTTTGGATCACTCATTGTAGTCTACGCACCAGCCAAAATCAGGCTTATTCTGCACCATCTTTCACACTCATTGCTGCTCCAGAAAACCCCCACTAAGCAACAGAACTAGTCATTCACTCTCCTTCATTTCACACAACGGAGAAGTCAACCTTTTCAGGATTCTTCACTGCAAAAGACTCTATCACAATTGTGCAGGTATCTCCACCCCTACTCACTTAATTAGACCTTCTCAGGGCCTAGATCTGCTTCTCAATAAAATCTCACTAGTGCCTGGAGAGATTTAATGGGCTTCTCTACTCTTTCCAACTCCCTTGTCCCAACCCCTCATGTGCAGGACTGCTGGTAGAGCTATTTTAAAAGGCCAGTTTGATCATGTCAATTGTTTCAAACATGGTCCAGAAGCTTCTGAGATGAATGTGTAAACTAATGCTGTGCAGTTCAAGGCCCCTTCAGGTCTGGTTCTGCTCCTAACCAGATCCATCCTTCTCTAGACCATTAACTTTCATAAAGATTCTTGGGACTAGTGTGCGTCAGCCAATGCTAAGTCCTCCAATACTTGTCCTTTTCACCATGCCATTTCTAGATAAATGAATTTCCATATCATATTTCCCACTGAATTTCCTACATAAACACTGTTCCTTCTTCCTGAACTTTTCTCCCAACTTCTATGCCTCGCCAACTATGGTCCACAATAGCTTGGAGTTTTTACATTAGTGCCGTTCACTTATTTCAGGAAAACAAATGAACGTCCAATTGTGGAAACTTGGTCCAATACAACCATGCAAATAACCCCTGAATGCATCAAACTAGGCAATGATTCCCTAGAATAGGAATTGGGGGTGGGGGGTTATTCAATTTTGTTCCACAGCACTCAGCACAAGGCCTGGAGTGGGCCAGAAGGTAATGATTGAATGGTGCGAATTAAGGTGGGTCTTAGAGATGGAACAGAGTGCTTGAACGTGTATTGTAATCCTCACACAAACACGAGAGCTCATGCCTTGGCACAATAACCTAGAGCAATCTGCAGATTAAAGGGACAGAGTGTGTGTGTGGGGGGGGGGTAGGAGCATTTTGTACAGTGTGCAGAGGGAACTCTTGGGGTAGTGTGGCCTCAGAGCAGGCATCAATGTTCTATACTTTAATGCTGGAAATTGGAGGCATACCAACCAGGCTCAAAATAACAGGCATGCCTACTATACAGCTATGTATTA